ATGCAAACTGTTTTATAATGGTTCGGCCATCATGACCTACATCCACTCCACCGATTCCTCTTCCGTCGAGGCCACCGGCATCCACTAACAATCTTCCTTCAATGGGAAAAGATCAACTATCCTTTTACATCCTTCTTCTCATTTTCATAGATTTAGGAGACAACCTTTACACTCCCACTTACTCCTCTCTTAAACTGCATTAATACTTAGAGCTTTTAGAGGAGTTCTCACAAGATTACAATAATATTTTTCTTCTTGTTTGCTCTCAATTCTTATGTGAGTTAACCAGGGATGAGAGGGGTATTTATAGGCCTCAAGTGGATTCAAACTTAGAGCCTAAAAGTGTCTCATCTCGGGTTTTCCGAGTCTTGACGGTACCACTACCTGTGCTGGGCAGTACCACCTTCTACAGCACTAACACTGGGCGGTACCACAACTTGTGCTGGGTGGTACCACCGCTTGCAGCATTGACATTGGGCGGTACTACCACCTAGTCTAATGGTACTATTACCTAGAAGACTGTGTATGGGCGGTACCACCACCTAACAGTCTCAAAGATTTAGTCTAGGTGGTACCATTGCTTAGACTAGCAGTACCACCGCCTAACATAGTCTCAGATACTATGCCATGACAGTTTCACTTGTTGGGTCATTGTTTGGGTCTTTCACTTAGCTCAACATAGCCTAAACTTGGGCCCAATTTGTCCCTAATTTAGTTGACCCAATTCTAACCCAATTATGTGCTAAATATGAATTTTAAGGCATACACTAAGCTAAATAAGTTCGGTAAGTCTAGGTTTCTTCCGACGATCTTTCGACGAACTTCCAATGATCTCTTACCAATGTTCCACGGACTCCCAACAAGCTCTAGGACTTCACGACAATCTTCTTGGTGAGTTCCGATGAGCTTCTTTGGCAAGCTCTTGACTTATCGGTCAATTCCGATAAAACTTTTGACAAACGTCTGGACTTCTAACGAACTCTCGAACTCCCAATGAAATCTCACTCTTGACTCTGGGACATCATTTTTCTTTATGCCTTGATCGCTATCATAGTTAATCTTGCATACTTAAAACCTACTTTGATCTAGACAATTGTTACAAGGCTTAAATCAAATATTGTCCAGCATGTCATTGGTTTATTGACGCTTCGTCAAATTTTTCGGCGCATCATCCTCTCTTATAGCCTATTGCCCAATCAGCCAGTTGACCTCCACAACTCCAATTTCCTTGGAGCAATTTTCACTATTCTTAGCCCGATGTCTGAACTCATGGCCCGAAGCCTTCTGTCGATACGTCAATCGGTCCTCTAACTTGACGTTCAATCTTCTGACACGTTCCACTCCGGCCCAACATGATTCTTCCTGCTTTTAATTATCTTTCCTTGATCAAACCTTCCTATATCACTCAAAGCGTAGATCAAATAAACACTATCAATTGATTTCATCATCAAAATCTGATATTCAATAAGTACCACCCAGTATCAGTATGTCAAGCGGTGGTAGCACCTAGTGTCAAACTAGGAGGTAGTGGTACTACCAGTACCCCTGAAAACTCAGGGATTTAAATTTTGACTCTAAGTTTTGAAGTCATTTAGGGTCTATAAATATCCCACAAATTTCTGCTTGGAATACACATGAAAAGAGAGCAAAAACTCTATGATTCCAAGGTTGTAAAACTCTTTTAAGTATCGAGTCTCTCCTCCAAGAGCTTAGTGATAGTCCTAAGGGATGTGTGTGAAGGAACATTTGTAAAAGAGAGATATAAAGGTTCTCTCCTGAACCTGTGAAAAGGAGAAAGAGTATAAGAGTTGTTGATCTTCGCCCATTATAAAGAAGATCGATAGTGGAAGTTGGTGGCCTCAAGTGAAAAGGAATCGGGAGTGGATGTAGATCACGAAGATCAAACCACTATAAATCAGTTTACATTTCTGTTTTGCTATTTACCTTTATTGCAAGCTACTTTACTTCCTCATTATTTTAGCTGCATACTCTTACGAATGTTTCCAAAGTTAAATTCGCTTTGATACAATTTTATTGTACGAAGATTTCTGACTCAACGTAATTTTTACATATGCACTAATTCATACCCCACCCCCCCTCGCCCCTCTTCCTTAGTGCCTTAGTGTCGATTTGGTCCTAACAGTACCATCTCACCTTACATAAAATATCACTGAGTGTAAGTGAATCTTTTGAATTAAGGATAATATAAATTGATCCATTAGTAGATACGAAGTACGTATTAGTGGCCAAAAGGTTTTACCAATGAATGAGTATTGATTTCATAATGATATTCAGTCCAGTTATTAAATCGACTATAATTCGACTCATCTTGAGTTTGGTTATCACTCAAGTGACATGTACACTAACTAGATGTTAATAATATTTTCTTATAGGGGATCTTAACTGAATATGTCTTTATGCAGCAACTTCCTAACTTCATCTACCTTTAATATCTAAACCATGTTTGTGAACTACAAAAAACTATTTATGGACTTCATCAAGCTCCAAGATCCTTAGTATATAAACTTAGCTCATTTTTAATGTCAACCAGCTTCGTTAACTTCAAGTCTAACACCTTTTTATTTCTACGATAACAAAAGGAATGTACTATATATCCGCAAGTCTATGTGAATGACATTATCACCATAGGTAAATAATTTTATGAAGATAAAAAAATTTCTTAAACATTGACAAATCAATTTCCATCAAAGACCTAAGGAACCTTAAGCTATTTTCTAGGAATGGAAGCAATGTTCACATCTTCTAAACTTTTCTTATCTTAAAAGAAATACATTCGAGATTTATTATTAAGGACGAACATGCAATATATCGCTACCTCGCTCTTCACTATTGAGTCATTCAAATTATACGATGGCAACCCTACTACGAATCTCACACAATACCAACAAGTAATTAGTTCCTTATAGTATTTATCACTTACATGTCCAAACATTTCATTTGTAATCAATAAATTATCATAATTCATATATCGACATTTTATTGTCTATTGGTTTACACTAAAACATGTCTTCCAATATTTTAAAAGGACTCTCAATTATAAATTTCTTCTTCATAAACAATCATCAATTTATCTCCATACTTTCGTCGATGCTGATTGGGCAAGCAATACTGATGATAGAATATCTATATCAACTTAAATTATATTTCTTGGTATAAATCTAATCAATTGAAGTTTCAAGAAGTATAACATAGTCGCAATATCCACCACTAAAGTTAAATATCGAGCTATCGCCACCATCACTATAACTTTCAACTGAATCACCAATTTATTACACAAACTTGGTATCATCTCCCAATCAAGTTTATACTTCTAACTAACTAGTAGATTCCCTCACAAAGCCTCTCGCTCTCAAAATACTTCAGTTACATTAGTCTAAAATTGACATCATTAATGGAAGCTTCATTTCGTAGGAGCATGATAAAAGATAATAATAAATATAAAATAATAATTTTATATTTTTTATGCTCTGATCCTTAATTAATCTATGATTTAAGGATCAATTATATAATTTAAGTATATAATTAAAAATTTCTCTCAAAATTTATATAAATATAATATAATTAAAAAATCTCAAAATTTATATAAATATATATTATCTATATTATCATAATTTATATAAATATATTATTTATATTATATAAATATATATATATATATTATTCATTTCACACTAAGTTTTTCGTTTCTTTAATTAGGAGAGCTTTAATGTAAGCAAATCAGTATCGAGAGACTAGATCTTCAAGTCAAGGGTTCGATAGTGGTGTGACTGATGATATGGATGACGTTGTCCACCTTGTAAGCAACCCATATCAGATCTCAAAGCGACACATACATTATGTTTGGTTTTAGCCTCATCTTTCAATGACAATGTTAAGATCAGGCCGATGATTCGGTGTTTGGTCTTCTACGCGTCTGAAAATACTGTAGAGGTCGACGTCATGGTTAATTTAGCCCATACACATACACGTAAGCCGTGCTTCGGCCCACCGCAGTCATGCAAATGTTGGTCATTAGGCTGATACATTTCATCAACCGGAATGAACAGGGAAAAGACGATAACGACAAGAGATTGAGGACAATTATGTATTCATTTCTACTACTCTTTAAGTTAAATTTGATCATCCTCTAATTTGATTCATAGTAGATTCGGGTAGAAAAAAATGTGCTAGAATCAGGTTCAAGTTCCGATAGCATGAAGTTAGTAAGCTACAGTGATTTCTTCCTCCTATACACATGTTAGTAATTTACTTCTCTCGACTCTTTGTCCTTCTCTATTTATGAGAAACCTAAAGAATGATGGAGCACACCATGTGCTTCTCGCAGCCCCACAGCACCATCAAACCATGTGCCCTCTCTGCGGTTTCTTTTTTAATGTGCAGGACCTGCAGCTGCAGCAACGAATGCATGCTTGCCGATCTCCACTGCTATCTCATGAGGATTCATACGGCAAATTCTATACTACCTAGTTCTGTGTTAAACAACATATGGAATCTATTCTATGAGACTGTTCGAATGAACAACATTAATTAATACTTCTTCTAGTGTTAGTGTTTAGTGTTTCACAGTCCGGTAACCCTAATATATATTTTTCCTCTCATCTTCCTCCACAAGAAGGGCAACATCAGGTCCCATGCATAGCCATTGATCCTTTGCTGGGCAAATTAACAACCTAGGTAGGAAGAAAATGTTCATGATGTTAAGTTCCATCTTTTCCTTCTGGCCGAGACCCCACCTCCGTCATTCGTGCAATGCCAGCTCTTGAAAGTGATCTCATAGCTAATGTCGTGGTTCTTCTTTTGCCATAAAGAAGAGCATTCAGGTACCGAGAAAAGTGTTGAGCAGACACTCTCATCCAAGTTGGCGGCAACCATTAACTCTCAACTTCATGATCTTACACCTAAAACCTTTCAAACATTAATGTATTACGAGATCAACATGAACAATTTCCTCTACATATAATTTACATGATTATTTTGGATGTCAATTGAGAAGAGGAACACGTCTGAGAATTTAGCATGGAGCAGAGAGAAAAATAATGACCGAGCATCCTTTTGTAACCCTTCAAGAACAAAGATTTAATGCTGAGAAATTTAGCTGCAAGGCCATGCAAGCCGCTACGTGAACTATCAGCAGGAATAGAAGTCCACCAACTCGTCCAGTGAGTCGGGCTGGGGATCGGCGTTCTCCAGCATCCACAGCAAGTGATCGAAGAGCACCACCTCACAACCCACCACCGTCCCGGCATCGGCACCACCGTCGGTCCCTCCTCCCGTCCTCTCGACCAGTTCCCGTAAGAGAGGGTGGTCGACGAGGTGGGAGCAGATGAGGTACTGCCGCCGCGACTTGCCGACGTACAACGCGCGAAGCGCGGGCGGGGCCTCGTCGCCATGGAACGATGCGGAGTGCCACGCGTCGTCGTCCTGCGACCTTGAGGACGAGCCGCTGCTGCCCCCGCCTGCGGCGGAGCGCGTGATCTTGCTCGATGAATGCCAACGCTTTATCATGCATTTCAGTTTGCTTAGCTTCCCATTCCCACTCGTCCCCATAGAGAGAGAGAGAGAGAGAGAGAGAGAGAGAGAGAGAGAGATGTTCGATGGAAGATCAGGAAGGGAGGCTCTCAGAATTTAAAGTGGAACTTAGGGAGGAAGAGGGAGCCATTGAGGAGAAGGTGAAGACAACCGGCATGGGAGGGTGACAGCCAAAAGGCCAGGAAGAGTGGTCATAGGGTGGGGCAGAGTTGGGTGAGCAATGTAGCTGAGCTACATTCCATTTCTCCTTTGCAAGTTTGTGTTTGTTGGGTGGCATGTAGCATGCTTTACATAGTTCTGTACAGCATACAATCCAATCTACATGATGATGTTTGGTAGATCAAAGTATTATAGTTATGATATATATATATATATACATAAAAATTTTTAGTCTACAGGGGCAATCAATGAAAACCACCAATGGCAAACCTCAATTTTCATGTAATGGGGATATAAACAAGAATAACATTTATATATGAACAAATACTAGTAGGCCATGATATACAGCGGAATTAAATGGAACCACAATCAAATAGAACACCAAGATATACGTGGAAAATCCCTTCAATGTGAAGGGTAAAAACCACGGGGCAAACTAGAGATAATCCATTATGAGAATAATGAATATATAAATCTCAATCTCTTGCCCTAAACCCTAGCAACAATCACAAGAGAATAACTGGGATACAAGGATCATATCACTGCCCACAATATCTACAACCTCCCCAAGTAATCACAGCAAGAGTCTACTGTAGATTTGATCTAACCTGAGAGGAGTACACTGCTAAATGATTGAGAACAGTCTCTCTGCGTTGTCCTTGTCTTCTTCCCTTTCTTTCTCTTCATTTTCTACCTTGTTTTCCTCCTTTTCTTTGGAATCTCATGGCTATTCCCTTCTCCCACATTGCTACCCTATTTATACCTTTTTCTGCCTCCAAAACGCAGCCACCACACCCCCCTTAATGTTAATTAGGGTTAGGTTAAGAGGGGGTGAGCTGTGGGCTGCCCAAGCCCACTATGGGCTGAATTTGTGGGCTGCCAGCCCAACAACCTCCCCCTTCAGCCTATAAGGGAGGCTGTCCCATGACTCCTCAATGTGAAGCCATGCCGATCAGCTGTCGGCATATCTCTTGTCTTTCTTTTGGTAAAATTTTTGTCAACATGTCTGCTCCGTTGTCATCTGTGTTAATTTTCTGAAGCTGCAACTGCTTCTCTTCAAATACATTTCGAATCCAGTGATATCTGATATCTATATGCTTTAACTTGGAATGAAACATTGGGTTCTTACACAAATGGATAACACTCTGGTTGTCACAATGCACCATATAATTTTCCTGTTTCAGCCCAATTCTTGTAAGAATTCTTTCATCCATAACATTTCTTTACATATCTCTGTAACAACAATATATTCTACTTTTGTGGTGGAGAGAGCAATATACCTTTGCAACCTGGATTGCCATGACATAGCTCCCCCTGCAAAAATAAGTACATAACCTGAAGTAGACTTTCTCGTATCTATATCTCTTGCCATATCTGTATCTGTGTAACCTGTCAACACATGTGGTCCACCTCCAAAGCGTAAACAAACCTTAGAGCTCCCTCTGAGATATATAAAAATCCACTTCATTATTGCCCAGTGCTCTTTGCCTGGATTTGTAAGAAATCTGCTAGTAACACCAACTGCATATGCGATGTCTGGCCTCGTACATACCATTGCATACATTAAACTTCTAACTGTTGAAGAATAAAGAACCTTTTGCATTTTCTCCTTCTCCTCATCACTTGACGGACTCTATTCTGAGCACAACTTGAAGTGACCTGTAAGAGGAGAACCAACTGATTTTGCATTGCTCATACTGAATCTTTCCAATATATTCTCGATGTATTTCTCCTGTGACAACCAAATCTTCTTATTTTTCCTATCACGGGAAATCTACATACCTAGTATTTGCTTTGCTGGCCCCATGTCCTTCATTGCAAAAGATTCACTCAGTTCCTTCTTCAATCTGTCAATTTTAGACATATCTTTTCCAAGAATAAGCATGTCATCAACATAAAGTAAGAGAATAATAAAATCCTCACCAAACCATTTGATGTACACACAATGATATGAAGCCGTTCTTTTGTATCCATTTTCTATCATAAATGAATCAAACTTTCTGTACCACTGTCTTGGAGCTTGCTTTAGCCTATACATGCTCTTCTTCAATTTGCAGACAAAGTTCTCTTTACCTTTAACTTTGAAGCCTTCTGGTTGCTCCATATAAATTTACTCCTCCAAATCCCCATGAAGGAAAGCTATCTTCACATCTAACTGCTCAACCTCCAAGTCTTGGCTAGCAGCAATACCAAGAGCAACACGAATAGAAGACATTTTAACAACAGTAGAAAAAATCTCTTCAAAGTCAATATCTTTCTTTTGACCAAATCCTTTCACAACCAATCTAGCTTTATACTTTAGTTGAGAACAATATTCTTGAGTCTTCAACTTGAAAACCCACTTGTTCTTCAAGGCCTTCATTCCATTTGGTAGTAGCACCAAATCATAAGTGTGGTTCTTCTGAAGAGCATCCATCTCTTCCTACATAGCAACTAACCACTTCTCTTTCTGCTCACTTTCAACTGCTTCCTGGTAACTCTCTGGTTCACCTGAATCAGTAAGCATCACATACTCATATGTAGAGTATCTTTTGGAAGGTTGACGTTATCTAGAAGATCTTCTCAACTGAGGTTCTGTTGGAACTTGCTCTCCTACTTCTTCTTGCTCAACATGTCCTACAGATAGATCAACATCAGGCTCTACACTATCTTTCTGCATATCTCCCCCATCACCCTGATATACTGGAGGAATAACTGGGTCACAATCTGCTAATCCTTTGCAGAAGTATTGGCTGGTGCCTTCTTCTTCAAATCTTCAAAAGTTTGATCCTCAAAGAAGACTACATCTCTGCTTCTAAACATCTTCTGCTTTTCTGGATCCCTGTAACCAAAATAATCATGTGAGTAACCAAGAAAAATATATTCTTTAGTCTTACCATCCATCTTGGACCTCTCATTATCTGGAACATGTGCAAATGCACGACAACCAAATACTCTCAAATGCTTGTAGGAAACATCTTTCCCTAACCATACATGCTCTGCAACATCACCATCTAGGGCTGTACATGGTGATAAGTTGATCACATCAACTGCAGTCCTCAAAGCCTCATCCCAAAACCTTTTGGGTAGCTTGGCCTGTGAAAGCATACATCTGATCTTTTTCATGATGGTGCGGTTCATCCTATCTACAATTGCATTATGCTGAGGTGTACCAGGAACTGTCATCTCATGTTGGATCCCATATGACCCACAATAGTCATTAAACAATTCTGTATACTCATCACCATTATCTGATCTTATGCATTTCAATTGCCTTTGTCTCCCTTTCAACCTTGGCATGAAACTCTTTGAAGACATTAATCATCTGATCTTTAGTCTTCAAAGCATAGGCCCAAATTTTTCTAGAAAAATCATCTATAAAAGTGATAAAATAAAGTCACCACTTATACCAAGAACATCAATAGATCCACCATGAGTTTTTGTCCTCAAAGGACCACATACATCTGTATAAACATGGTCTAAGACATGCATTTTTTAGACAAAGCAGGACTAACAAATGAAACTCTATGTTGTTTACCTGCCAAACAAACAATACAAGGGTTCAGATGTATACCTCTGAGGTCTGGTAGTACCTCTCTCTTGGAAAGAGCTTGCAGCCCCTTCTCGCTCATGTGTCCCAGTCGCCTATGCCACAACTCCATGCTGAAGTCTTTTTCTGTAGCATTTAACTGCTTACCATAAGCTTTAGCCTGCAACCTGTACAAAGTATGATATTTCTTTCCATTAGCTATAACAAGAGAACCCTTACTGAGCTTCTATTGCCCTTTGTGAAATCTGCTATCATAGTCTTCATCATCTAGCCTTCCAATTGAAATTAAATTCAGTCTCAAGTCAACCACATGCCTCACATCCTTAAGCACCAACTTGCAGCCAAGATTGGTCTTTAAATGGATATCACCCATGCCTATGATATCTGTTGTGCCATAGTTGCCCATCTTGACAACACCAAAATTTTCAAACCTGTATATAGCAAAAAACTCCCTCCGTAGTGTAGCATGATAAGAAGCACCTGTGTCAATCACCCACTCAAGATCCTGACACACACAAGAAAAAATATCATTAGAAGGAGACAAAATCAAATAATCACCACCCTGTATTGTAGTTGTGATATTATCTTTTGACTCTATAGACTCCACTTCTTTTCCCTTTTTCTTGCTCTTCTTAGGTTGCTTACATTGGTTCTTGTAATGTCCTTTCTCACCACAATTATAGCAAATAATATCTTTTCTTGATCTTGACTTACTTCTACCCATGCGTGAACTACTTCTAGACTTTGACATTCCTCTTAAGTGCCTGTGAATCATTTTGAGATATTGCCGAACTCTTTCTTCTCAACTCCTCATTCAACAAACTACTTGTTACTTAACTCATGGTGACAACACCATCTGGCACAGAATTACTGAAGGAAACCACCAATGTCTCCCAACTTTCTAGTAATGAACTGAGAAGTAACAATACCTACAACTCATCATCAATAGACATTTTCATAGAGGATAACTGGTTAGTAATACTTTGCATTTCATTCAAATGTTCAGCAATAGAAGCACCTTCTCTATATTTTAGGTTCACAAGTTTTCTGATCAAAAAAGCTTTTTTGCTAGCTATTTTTCTTTCATAGAGACTTTCCAACTTTTTCCAAAGAGAATATGCAAAAATTTCAGTAGAAACACGGTGAAAGACACTATCATCAAGCCACTGTCGAATAAATCCAATTGTTTTTCAATCTAACCTCTTCCACTCATCATCTGTCATAGTTGTGAGTTTTGCACTATCCCCCTGCAAAGGTCCATACAAATCTTTACAATATAAGAGATCTTCCATTTTTTGTTTCCATATCATCCAATTGTTTCCATTTAAACTAATCATGTGAGAAACATTACTAGCCTCCATGTTGAAATACAAAATTTAAATCACCAAAACCCTTTGCTCTGATACTAGTTGATGGGGATATAAATAGGAATAACCTTTATATATGAACAAATACTAGCAGGCCATGATATG